GCAAGTAGGTCAGGGAACCTGGAGTAGAGATTGTGAGATCCTGGTCTGGGCCCCAGAGAGACAGCTGCAGCCAGGGACAGTGACAGGGGTGGGGGTGGGGTGGCTCAGCCCAAGGTCAGGGACTCTGTGAGCCCAGGGTTGGTTGACATTTAGGTCTATCACTGAGTCTTTGGCATTCGGGAAAACCATGCGTGAATTTTACGCGCCTATTATCAGCCACCCATCACTTCGGCTGTCACTCTGGTGAAGATTGAGGGAGCCATTCCCGAAACAACAGCCCAAGTGCTTTCTGCTCAGCAGTTCACTCCTCCACTGGCCATGAGTGTCGGAACTGGGCCCCATCTTAGCTGGACACGGGGAGTATTTAGTCCCTCTAGCTGGGGCTTGGCTCTCTCTCTCTTTCTCTGCACCATCTCAGCTCTTTTTTTTTTTTTTTTTATCTTTTCCTGTTACTGTGATAAAATACGCTGACAAAAGCAATTTAAGGGGAAGAGAGTTTATTTCAGCTCAAAATTCAAAGTTACAGACCATCATAGTGGAAGATGTCCCAGGGGCAGGAGCTTGGGGCTGCTGGTTATGTGTGCCGCTCAGCTCTCCTTTCCATCCGCTCCCCCTCCTATCTCTGGCACTCTCTGCCCGTCCATCGCTGTTGCTCTGTCCGGTGCCTCAGTTCTGTCCGCTCCTTGCTTCTCCAGTTCTCTTGGCACTTCCCTCGATGCTGATCAGTCTGTACTTCCTGTCCCCAGAGCCCAGCTGGACTGTGACCTTTCTTCCCTCCGCTTCAGGTGGCACCCTTCTCCCTAAATCCTCATAGGTTCAAGAAGCCAGCTCTCTCCATAGCTGACCCCAGGGCAGCCAGACGCATGGCACACTAACAGCCTGGTTGACTGTTAGCCTCTCTTTCCCTCCAAGCCTCTACCACACCCCCTCCGCCCAGCCTCGTCCTCATTTCCCCCTCACCCTTTCCCCAGCCTTCACCCCACCTACCTTCCCCTTCAGGTGCTACCAGCAGGCCGGGGCTCTGGAAGGAGATGTTCCTGGAACCGGCCTACACATCTTGTATGAGTGGAAATTGTACAAGCCCAAGTATGAACTTTGTTGTTTCCCATGGCACAGCCAAATCCCAAGGACCCTGGTTTTTGGTTCCTCCATGCTACACTGGCTCTTAATAAAACCCACAGTTTTTCTGGATCACAAGGAGTCCCGTGTGGCTGTCTTGTGGGGTCCTTAGAGCCTTGTTCACCGCTCTGTCTCCCACAGACAAGGTGGCTCAGAGTGGAGTTAGTGACCACAGTCACAGTCACCTTCAGAAGACTAGTAAAAGCCTTAGGTGGTACAGAATGAAGCAAATCGTGCCCGACTGCTGTGTACAGGGGCCTTGGGGTGATGGAGCAGGTGACTCAGACTCACAGTGGACCTGCGGATCCAGAGGTGGGTGTCCTGGGCTGAGAAGAGGACAGTGGCCATGGCTTTGCTTTTGTCTAAAGCTCCCAGCAGAGAGGCAGCCAGAAACTAAGTGCCATCCCTCCAGAAACAGAGGGATGCAGGTCATGAATGCCCCTGAATGCCTGCCCCGGTGGGAAGGGCATGCTGAGTATGGACAGCTAGCTTGGGAGCACAGCCATTAAGTGACTGTGGTAGCTGCATTTACACATGACACTTGGTCATGAGCCCAACTCAGAGATGAGCAGAACAGCATGGCCACCCTTCTGTTGGGGCCCTGCAGCCATCTCCACACCTGCTGGACACACTTGAAATCCTCCAAAGATCACAGGGGATCTGTGGTGACTGTAGCCCTGTGGCAGGAACCTCAGGCAACTGTGGCTGGTGAATGGGGGACCTGGTGTGGCAGCAGCTACAAATCCAGCTGAACTGTCTGTGCAGCGAAGCGGTGGTCTCGGGGACTCAGGCACAGAAAATAGGAATCTAAGATCTTCTGCCACCTATACATGTGGGTCACAGATGAGGTCCCAGGACCAACGTGGGGCCACAGCATGGAGGGGTAGGGTTGACTTCAGTTGACCCTCTTGTCCTTTAAGGTCACCCCCCCCATCCAGGACAGTCTTCCTGTGGGTGCTGCATCCTCACTGTGCTACCCACAGTGTATGGCACACAAAGTGTCGAGTGTAACCTAAAGTGGGAAATTACCACTTAGGGGCTGGCTACAGTACCCCTTCTGGTGGAGCCATCATTTTGAAGGATGGGACTCTTAGTGGTGGAACCTGCCCAGTCTGGCCGGTTTCTCTGGTCCAGCGCAGGCCCTGGCTGGGGGAGGCTGAGGGTTTGTGGCATGGATGAAGGTACCCACGAGAGACTGAATGCACAGGGCCCACCTCTCAGCTGGGGCTGGGCTTTTCCTTCCCAATTCCCACGCCAAGCAGCAGCCTTCCGGTCCTCGTGCAAAGCCAAAGCAGATGGCTACCCCTCCTGCTGCAGCCCTGGAGCCCCCCAGCTAAGCCCCCCCCCCAGTCCTCCACTGCTTCCCATGGTTCATCTACTGACTCCTGAGCTATTCAGAGGTCAGTGGAGCCCAGCAACCCTGCTGCTAACAGGGTGAAGCAAGTCCAATTTCATGCCTACGTGGCTTCCCTCTAAGAAGGCGAGGAGAGAGAATAAACCTGCGTATTAAAATTCCTTCAGAAAACAGAAACCTCTGGAATTAGGGGCCTTCCATAGAACTGCCGGGCAGCAGCAGAGGAGGCAGCCGGTTCATGTGAGATGAATCAGAGCTTCGAGGAAGGAGGAAGCTGGTGAAGGAGGCTGAAGGTGCCGTGCGGTGGTTGCCTGCTCATCTCTCTGGGATGTTTGCACACAGATGAATGTCTGAGACAACCACCAGCCTCACTACTGTTGTTGACTGACTGGACAGACTTGGAAAGGCAAACGTTTACTGCAGTGATCATTTGTTTCTGATGTATTTCAAACAGCAATTAGTGGGCAGAGGAATTTGAGCTTAAGTGAAGGTAAAAAACAAAGCACAAGGGAAAACCAAGACACAGGGATATCAAGTTCAAAGGCCGATATTGGGGGAGCGGCAGAGACAGCTTAGCACTAGCTGAGCCTCTTGCAGAGGACCTGGGTTCAGTTCCAAGCACCCACAAGGCAGCTCACCAATATGTGCAACTCTGGTTCCAGGGAATCTGATGCCCTCTTCTGGCTTCCTTGGGTGCTTGGTGTGCACATGTGGTGCACAGACATACATGCAGGCAGAACACCCATACACATCAAAATAAAAGAATCTAAATACATAGGTAAACTGCTGATTGTTGGGTTGAGAAGGTGGTCAGTGGGTAAAGCGCTTGTCACGCAAGCATGAAGACCTGAGTTTGAATCCCCTGAGCTCATTAAAAGCTGTGGTGACTGTTTCCAGTTTCTGCTATTCCAGGAATATGGGACAGGAGAATCTCCTGATGCTCTGGGCCAGCCAGCCGGTGTGCAAATCAAAAAGAACAAAGAAAAAAAGGCCTTGCTTTCAACAAGGTGGAAGGCAAGGACCCACATCCGCAGTTCTTTCCTGACCTCTCTACAGGAGCACTGTGGCATGTGTGTGCCTACACATGCATGAACATACATGGAAAGTAAAATACAAAGGCAGCAAGTCCTGCTCAGGCACTGGGGACAGGGCGTGGGCATCTTTGGGAGTCATGATTCTGCCTGGGGTAGTGGCCTTGGATCAAGAGTGTTAGTGTGCAGCTAGGGCTGGGGGAGAGTTACTCAACAGCCTTGGGTGGTCCATGAGCTCCGGATGGATCTTCAGGCTGTTCAGTGTATGAGACTCGGGCTCACTGCAGCATACCCATCCCATGCCATTTCATCCCACCCTATCCCTTCCGTCATCTTCTTGGGGCCTCTCAGGTCTTGGGGGCAGGGCTTAAGCTCATCCCTCTCCTGGCCGTGTAATGTGCGTTGGCTCCACTCGTGTCCACAGACATGACCCAGCCAGAGGCTTTAAATGTACTGGCCTAGGTTTTCCTCAAGTTCTGATGATTTCCTGAGCTCCACTTAGCATAGTCTTTGTCTCTCTTAGGCCTGCATACACAGGGCCTGGTTCTGAGATGGCCCTACTAGAAAGTGGTGGGACCATCAACAGGTGGGGTGTGTCCTCAGTGGGGATGTGGGACCTAGTCCTTCCTCTGTGTCTGGTCCCTGTCTCCTAATGGATGTTCCTATGCAGCTCCATAGCCTTTTGCCATGATGTATGTCCTTCTGAGAGGCCCAAAGCAATGGGGCTGCTGGCCTGTTGGCTTGTATTTTCAGAACTGAGAGCCCAAAGAAACCTTTCTTCTTGATAAGTAAATTATATCAGCTGTTTTGTTACAGTGACAGAAAGATGACTGATATACACTGAAAGAGGATCAGATGTCAGGTTACTGCTCTATTTGCTCCAGCTCCAGGATGAACACACATGGAATTTGCAAATCAGTAGAGGAGACTAGAGGGCAGCCTAGAGTGTAGCCTGTAGCAGAGGGTGCAGGTGTGGAGGGTCTGCTGTCTGAAGCTAAGCCTTCTGGTAAGCCTGGATGAGATCATCTGGACCACTGATATGTATAAATAAGTATCCATGCCTGCTGTTGCCTGTCACCACTATTTGGGTTGACTTGTTAGGCAGCATTGTTATGTCTATAGTTGACTGTTACATTTCCCATGAGGGTTCATGACCATTTCCCACACCTGGCTGTTTTCAGGACTGAATGAGACAGGAGCTGCATGTCCACCCATCCTCACAGGGGTGCAGGTTTCCAGTTTCCTTTGCCACACTACCCCTATGCCTGTCCCAAGACTGGATGCCAGCAGGTACCCAATAGCTCTACTACACTAAGGGAAAACAAAGAGCCGCACACTGAGGTGGGGAAAATTGGTCTGTTTGTTTTAATTAAACCCAGTGAAGAAGCCAAGACATGGGCAAAGACTAAGAACAAGACTGGAAATAGTTTAGAAAAGAAATGAAAATCGATCGCAGAGATGCCGGGCCGCTGGAGCATCAGGAAGAGGTGGCATCTTCACGTGAGCTCCAGGACCACTGTCAGGGCGAGCACCAAGGTGAGCCAGACACCAGCGAGGACAGAAGCCGAACCTGTGAGAGGGCAGAGGTGGCGTCATGGCTGCAGTCTGCCTGTGTCATGGTGGGCCTATCGGTGTGAAACTTCGGGGCTTCAACCAAGGTTGAAAATGGTTCCCAACGAAGATGCTAGGGGGTAGCATCAGGTGAGTGGGTTCGAACCTCAGCTCTGCTGGCTTCTTGCCATGGGTCCAGTGCCCTGTCCCCGTGCAGGCCTGCTGGGCTGAGGTCATCAGGCTGGTCCAGTGGGTACCAGGAATGGGAAGCTTCATTGAGAACTGCTAGATTTTGCTGTGCATGGTAGTGTCTGCATCCCATGGGTGGTTCTGGGTTGGGGTGCATCTGTCTATGTTCTTAAGTGTCCCATGGAGTTGTCAGAGACACACAGCATGGTCAATGCCTTACACAGCTTCTTGGGGGTCTGGGTAGCAATGAGAGGGGACACGCTTGGCCCTTGACATCCATTGGCTGTTTGGGGGTGGGGGTGGCTGTAGCGCCTTTCTTGCTTAGTGCCTGCCTTGGCCTAACCTTGACTTAGCCTGTCTGAGATGATGACTTCCTGAAGGAGGGGACGGACCAGGGCAGACAAGTAGTACTTTAGCAATTAATGCTTTCTGGGGCTTGCTTTTAAGGGTGCAGTCTTGAGGGTGGAGACTTACCATGGGAGTCCTCTGTTCCTCTTGGGATATTTGGGTTTTCTGTCAGAAAGAAACAGAGAGAAGCAGAATGGGTGGTGCTGAGTTCCAAGCATGGAGGACCTTCCCCAGGCATCTGCTATATGGTGTTGTATGTATTGGGATGGCGCCCCTCAGTCTCTCTATATCTGACATGTTACAGAGGGGAAACTGAGGCCTGCTGAGTGTCAGAGCTGAGATATGAACCCAGAGTCTCTCTGATGATAAAGTCATTGTAATTATACTCAGTGAATGGAATTATGTCTCTGAGGCAAATTTAAGGGGCTTTTGTGGACAGCTTTGATCCAGGGCCTATTCTTGGGTGGTCCTGTGGGGTCCCTACCAAACACGATGAGCCGAGTGTGTGTATCGGTGGAACCCAGTGGGTTCTGGGCAGTGCAGCGATGCAGGGAGCCGTTGAGCTCAGCAGGAACCCGCTCCAGCACCAGCTCCTTCCCGTCAAACTCAGCGCTGCCATCCAGTAGGCGGCCGCCCACTCTGGTCCACGTGAACATGGGTTCTGGGAAGACCTCATTCTGTGGACCAGAGAACAGAATAGTGGAGTCACAGCAGAGCATGCTGACAACACAGGAAGGCCAGAGGTTTTCCAGACCCCCAATTCTCATCTAATAGGCTTCAGGTGGCACCTTAGAACCCCAGGAAGGGGGCTGGGGGTGTAGTTTAGTTGGCAGCGTGCTTGCCTAGCACACACTAAGCCCTGGGTTTGAGCCCTAGCACCACATAGACTGTAATGGTTCGAGGAGGGAGAGGGAGGGGAGTCAGAAGTTCAAGGTCATCCTCAGCTAAATAGGGAATTTGCAAACAGCCTGGACAACAGGTGACTGACTAGGTGGAGAGGACTCAGGGTTTGGGACTGGAATAAATGCAAAGGAGGAAAGTTGACGCACATTGCATTTGCTTGTGTGTATAGGAGAGTGAGCCAGGGATGCCCGTTCCCTGGGTGTCTCTACCCACTCCCCACTCCACTCAGGTACTCAGAGAAAGAGGCTGACCTGAAATCCGTGGACTAGGATCCTCACTGTGTCCCCAACCCGGGCTCTGCTGGGTGTCATCACGATTTTGGGCCCTTTGGGAGCAACTGTATCAAGAGAAAGATATGTTCAGAGAGGGGTGGTGGGTGGGTGTGGTCAGCATGGAGAGTGGGGTGGGGCAGGAAAGCAGAGCACGTTCCAGAGGTTGGTGTCCTAGACACTGGCTGCTTCTCAGGAGTGCCTGGGAGGCTCATTCATTCCCTCAGTCATGGCTGCCTCCTCCATATCCCTTACAGCCCTATTGTGTGTCCCATCCCAGCCTGGATCTAGGGATTCAACGAGGCACACAAATGATGGGTCCCTGCATTTGTAGGTCTCACATGTCAGTGGGGGAGAAGGATAACAACAGCATCATTGTCCCCTCTGTTCCAGGTGAGTTCACGGAGGCCCAGTGATCTGTCAAATACCACACGGTCACACAGTGAGGAAGAATCAGGAGCAATATTCAGGTCTCTAGGCTGCTGATCCAGGATCCTACCGCCAGGGTGTTTCCCGAAATCTCTGTGTGGGGGTGTGTGGATGGTGTGAAGCCACCGCCTCATTCCCTAGCCAGCCTTTGTTCTCACTACCTCTGGTCCTCTCATGCGTGCCCAGTCCAACCTTCCTCAGTGGCTTTGTATGTGCTGAGGAGACATGATGCCCTGGGTGCCCCTCGCCTGTGGGAGGCCAACCCAAGCCTGTGCCTCTTCTTTTCAGAGAGGAAAACTGGGCCCACGCATAATAAAGATGCTTGTCCAAGGTCCCTGCAGAGTCAATTACACATGTTTCCTGACTCCCCGCCCTCATTAATTCATTTGTTCCCTCATTCAATAGTAATTACTGAGCTGGCCATATGTCAGGCTTTGGAGTAGGACTAGGGACTAGTAAAGGGACAGAGATAAAAGTCAAGTGTCTGCAACTTATCCATTAGCCAGGGACACATTTCATTTTCAAAGGGACTCAGCCAAACTATGACCAATGTTGTGTGCAGGGACTGAGGCCAGCATAAGTGGCACACAGCTCGCGGGTGGGTGTGTGGGGCAGTGGTCAGAGTGTCCCAGACAATTGAAGCATTCAGGAAATGTTCCAGACAGAGGAAGAATCAAGGACATGGTTCTAAGGTCAACCAGAGAGCTGGTAGGGCTGGGGAGAGACTCCACAGAATTTCCAGGGATGTCCCCACTTAATTCACAATGGAAATCAGAGCAGCGTGCAGATGTGAGCAGGCTCCAGGCTCTGCCAAACTCACTCTCTGAGAATAAGGCCAAGGCACTATTAATTAACCACAAGGAAGACAGCAGAGGGAAGGGCCCAGCCTGCTGAGAGGGGAGGGCAGCGTGGTGAGGGGAGGAGAGGATGCTTCCGCTGCCTCCTGCTGCTGTGTCCACCTGCCAGAGACACTGGAGAAGTTCTAGTCTATTCTGGCAGAGGGAAGACTTGGGGGTGGAAAGGCTGTACCTCTGGGCCACCCCCACCCAGCCCCTGATGGCTTACTTTTGTCCACTATCTAAATGCTCGGTCCTTCATCCAACACTCCATACTTGGTCTCATTTCACCTTCCAGCCTTTAGAAATTGTCCGACAAGCACAGGAAGGCACAGAGAGGATAAGGGACATTCTTGCATCTTTCAGTTTCTCTTGGGTGCTGTGGAAGAGTTAGGTTCCCAGAGGGAAAGCCCTGGGGGGTGCCATAGCCTTGGGTGGTCTGTGCCACTGCCAGCTTCAGCCAGCAGAGGGTGCTGGAGGGCCTCCATTGCAGCAGAAGGCAGGGCCTGGAGGTCAGTGTTTCTGGAGAGATTCAGAGCCTAGGGCAGAGAGACAGCAGGCCACACAGCCTTCTTGACTGCCCTGTTCTGTTTCTAGTGGCTCCTATGTAAAGTAGACCCTGATGGGCACAGAGGGTGGCCCAGGAGGGGTCTGCTACACTCTGTCCCTCTGAGCTCTCCAGCACAAGGGCACTTGCAGATGTCTTGGAGCTCTCACCCTCAGGGCTGCTGGGAGTGCCTTGCTTCTGGAAGTCAGGCCAACTGCTTTCACGCTCCTATCCCACCACCATCAGAAAGTCCATTTGTAGCTCCTGGCAAGCAAAGCCTGGCCCCTTGCCTGCCTGCTTTGAGAACACAACCCAGAGTGCCAAGCAGAGGTGTCCCCACAGTTTTGGTATTCACTTCTCTTCACTGCCTGGTATGTAAAGCCTGAGAACTGAATGCGGGCCCAGAATCTAGGCCTAGTCCTCCAGGCTGTGGTATGGAGTGTCAGCTCAGTCTGTCTATTCACTGGTTCATCACCTGCCTGGGAGCAGCCCTGAGAATGACAATGGGTAGAGGGAAGGGGCCACAGAGTGAAATCTTGGCTCAAGGGAATGCAAACTCCCACATTCCCGCTATATCTCCACCTGTGGGATCTTGCTTGCTGTCTGTGAGAATGACATGTGTGGTCTCAAGGAAAGGCTCCTGTGGGACCCCCATGGAATTCTGGGTTCTCATGAAGACAGTCACTTACTTGTCCATCTGCCTAACCATCCACCCATCTATCCAGTCCAACCTTCCATCTACCCACCCATCATTCCCATCATTCATTCATTCATTCATTCATTCATTCATTCATTCATCCACATCTCATCTATTTATTTGTCAATCCATTCATACATCATCTATTTATTCATCCATCCATCAAATCTACTGTTTTTGGTTTTGTAAGATTTCCTCTTTTTTGTTTCTAATTCTGTTTTGAGACAGGGCTTATGTAGCCCAGACTGACCTCAAGCTACTACTTATCTAAGGATGACCTTGAACTTCTGATCCTCCTGACCCCACCTCCTGAATGCTGGAATGACTGGGGGCACCACTATGCCTGGCTTAGGTTTTTGTTTTATGCATCACAGAGGACTGAAAGTATTTCCCTCGTTCTACTACACTTTGCCTTTTCATCTCTTTGGGATGTCTCCTTATGAGCTGAAGATTTGAATTTTGATTCAGTCCCACTGAACAATTTCCAATTTTTTCTCTAGTGGTTTTTTATTTTATTTTTTTATGACTGCTTTAAGGGATGTTGGCTACCTCGGCTCCATAAAGACATTTTTCTCCATTTTGTTCTAGAAGTTTTATGACGCTAGCTTTTACACCAGAGTCTATCAATCATCCTCAGGTTAACCTGTGTGCGCACCAGGCAGGGGCCAGGCCAGCCTCTCCCTTCTTCGTGTTCTTTTGTTCCAGGGCCATGTGTTAGAGAATGCGTCTTTACTGTCCAAACAGCCTCAGGGTCTCCGTCAAAATCAATTGACTTTGCCTGCAGGTCTATTTCTGGACTCTCTTCTCTGCATCAGTCTAGTGTCTACACTGGAGGGTCTGGGCAGCTGTTTATCTGAGTTTCGAGCTGATTTATATTTTAACTAGGTCATTTGGGATGAAGAATAGAAAAAGGCAAAAAACCAAAACCAAAACCAAACAAAACAAAACCCCAGAAGCAGAGAGCCAGTTTGGAGGCTGTGTTGCACTCCAGGGGTACATCCACAGTGCTTGGATGGCTGGTTACAAGGGAAGCACCAACAGGGCAGGTCTGGGAAGCATTCTGAGGCCTCGCTGCCTGGCAGGTGGTAACCTGGACATGAGGAGACCAGGGGAAAGTGAGTGACCCTGAGGCTTCCATCTTAACCAACAGTAGGAAAACATCATCATTCCTGAGATGTTTTCAAGGCTGCTCAGCAGAGATTCACAAACCCAGAGAGGGGCTTGAAAGGGAAACAGCCAATTGAAGGGACCAGGGAGGCCCAAGCAGGCTTCCTGAAGGAAGTGGCATTTGAGCCACACATGGCATCCCTGGAAAAGGAATGCAGGTGAGAGCAAGATCTACTGCAGAAGACAAGCCCAGCCATTGGTGGCATGCTCTCCAAAGTCCCTGCTGGGTATTGTTTGAAATCCGTGCCCCAATACTACTTTGTTCACTGCCCTCCCCCTGGCTTCCAGAAGCCCGACACCCCACCCTGCGCCCCCTGCAGGATTACAACCTCTTATCTCTGATGCTAGGCCTTACCCAGAGTGACTTCCGCCTGCATGGGCATGGACAGAGCTGGGTGCTTGACCTCACAGCTGAAGAGGGCCTCGTTGTCAATCTGCGGGTTGAGGGTCCAGGTGAGCAGGGCTCGCACCTCCACCGTGCCATCGCTGCCTGGGGTGCGGCTGTGGCGTAGGAAGTAGACCGGCTCGGCGCTGTGTACCCAACGGGGGAACTCGCGGCTCACCACTGTCTCTGGGATGTTTTCCGTGGTGGGCTGCACGAAGAGGCTGGGGTCTTGGGTGAGGCTTCGTGAGGGGCGCTCCGTGTAGGGACGTCCAGCCCGGTATTCAGTGTCCAGGAGGGACAGGGACTTTTGCATTTTAGTGTCGTCCACGTCCCGATGCAGAAGGCTGCGGAAGGGCCTGCTGTCCTGGAAGGGGCCAGAGCTGGCTGCGGCTGGCAGTTCTGACAGGGGCACTGCATCGATCAACTCCCCATCCCGTTTGAAATAAACCTACAGTTGCAAGCCGGACAGAGGAAAGGATAATGGATGGATGGTTTCCTCTCCCGATGGACTCTAAAAGAGCCTGGGCCTCCCACTCCCATCCCTTTCCCTTATCCCAGGGAGAGCTACGAGCCAACATGACACGGTGGGAATACACACAGCTCTGGAGAGAGGTGGCTCAAACCAATACCATTACTGACAAACTGGGGAGACTTTCAGCCTCATTTTCCCCACCGGTAAAGAGAAATAAGACTATTGACTCCAGGGAGCAACTGGGGGCTTAAATGAAGTCATATGGGCAGATTGGTTTTAGATGTCACTTAGCTACCAGCATGGTCCATGGTCCATGGCTGCCCTGGAGGCATGTGGATGGGGAGGGAGAGAGAGAGAGAGAGAGAGAGAGAGAGAGAGAGAGAGCAGGCTCTGCCTGCTCACACAATTTGGCGATCTGGAGCTGCTATGCAGAAAACAGGTGCATGTGTGGGAGGGAGCTAGGTGTGGGGATGAGTTGAAGAAGCCTTCGTCTCCCTTTCTCTGCTAATAGGGAATTCAAGTTTTGAGAGGCGGCATTTAATTTAATTTGCTGTCTTCTTATTTTGGTACACGCACCCAGAGGCCTTCGGGGATTGGATGTATTTTTTAATAAATCAGATAAATAAATCGATAGGAGACTGAGAGAGGTAAGAGCAGGAAGCTCAGGGACTGGGGACTCAGTGGGGACTCAGTGAGAAGAGAAGCCGGGGTGGGCAGGTGGGGGAGGGGCTGGGGAGGGGGGTCTGCTCTGGGGGGCTGGGTTTTATTTTTTCTTCCCCTTTCTTTGCTTTTCTTCTTCCTCCTCTTTTTTGAAAAGTGCTTCAAAAGCAGGTTTGTAATTTATATCAAAGAATTGCTTTCAAGTTCTGATGCTCCAGACAGACGTAAGATGCCTGGAATGTGAGGGAATAAGGATCTTTCACTTAGAGGCGGGGAAGAGAGAGAATGAGAGGGGAGGAGAGGCCAGGAAGAACAGAGTGAGAGAGGGGCCATTCTTAAATAACTGTGTCTAAAGTGGCAGCTAGGTGGTGAGGTGGGAAAGGGTGCTCTCCCGTAGCTCCAGGGACAGGAAACACTCCCTCATGCCTTCCTCTTCCTAGAGGAAAGACCGGCTTCCCGATTTGGTGGAGACTGGACATCCTCATGGGTTCTTAAGGGGAGTCTTGGAGAGACTCGAGAGTCATGTCATCAGCATTCAGTGGCTCTGAGGCCACCTTTATCATCTCCTTGCTTGGGACTGCAGTGTGACCCTAAACCTGCCCACTGAGCCCTGACCAACAAGCCTCCATGCCTCACTAGAGATCTCCTGACTAGAAGTTATGCCTCTGCACCCCTGACCCCTGACCTCCATGTCTTATATCGCTGACCTCTCTGCCTTGTACCCTCATCCCAGGCCCTCACGTCTCCATACCCCTGATCCCTGCCCACTTTGGGCTTCTGCACCCTATCTGTGGGGCATCTCTACACATAGCCACTCCCCTGCCCTGCAGTTGGCTCTGGTGGCCCCAAACTCTGAGAGGGGCTGATCAGATCCTCAGGTCTTACCACTGGTCAAACATGTAAGAAATGGTCACATTGGGAAGGAGGGGGCCACTTACCTCTCCATCTGAATGCTAACTGCAGGTCCTCATTGCTCCAGCCTTACCTGTCTCCCACCCCCACCCCACTAAATCTAAGGAATGTGCTAAACTCACCAAGTTGAAGACTAGAGTATTTTAAAATACCCACACTAGAATTTCCCCCAAATGTAGCTTGAAGGCCCTGGTATGGTGCACAGAAGTGTTCCCAGTGACCTTTGCAGGTTTTATGATGCCCCCACCTACAGAAGTTGGCCACATAAGGTTTCATTAAATAATTGTTGGGCCCAAAGGGCCCCATGGCTTCTGAAACATTAATGGTGTCTGACTCCTTGGACTTGTGCCAAAACTAAGAAGTGGAGGTGCCCCCCCCATTCATGGTCAATCCAGGGGATTGGTGTGACCAGAAGCAAGACTCGACCAGGTGATCATGGGTCCCCGTGACTGAGAATCCAACTCTGTCTTCCTGCCCCCTTCTCTCTCTCCCTTCCCCTTTCCTGTTTTCCTTTTTTTTGGGGGGGGGACTCTGTAAACCCCATGGATGATTGGGAGGAGCAGTGGGCTTCAAGTGTGAGAACATGAACTTGGGGCCCATCTCCATGGAAAATATGAGGGAGACAATGAAGAAGTCTCTTCCCATCTCTGTTCAATGTTCCCTACCCCTCACAAAATCTAGGGTGTAGCATACTGAGTAGTGGACTGTCCGGGAATACCCTTATTGTGAAGACCTAGGACTGCAGGATGGTGCAGAGGGAATAAGAGAGGTGCTGGGCAGACCACTTCCTGTCTGGGTCCAGAAGTGGTACCTGAAGAGGGTTCAGGAAGCAGGAATCTTGGCAAACAGGACTGGGTCCCCAAGTACCTACCATGGGTGCTGGCTTCCCTCCAGACACGATGCAGACCAGTGTGAAGTTCTGGGCCTGGTACCGGCTGAAGGGGGCAGGTGAGTCCGCAGCCACGACTTCGATGGAGGTAGGAGGAGCTTCCAAGGGAAGAGCAGAAGACCATGACTCAGTTGGGGGACACAGAAAGAATTCTACCAGGCACTACACCAGGGGTGGTGCCTGGTGTGGTATTGGTGTCCTTGCTGGGGACTCAGAGCAGAGCCTTGCTTCCTGGAACTTTTAGCCCAATGGAAGAAATGCAGAGTACACAAAGGGCACACGGACTGAAATGGTAGGATATATCCTAGCTCAGAAGTGAAGAGGTCCTGGGGAGACAGTGACAGAGAAGCCACACTGTCCTGTGATCCAAGGAAGCAGCAGTTGACAGGAAGACAGAAATAGCACATGCAAAGGACTCATGGGGCACTGGGGTGGAGGGCTAGGTGAGCTATGTGCTCTGGTTGCCCCAACAGCTAGGAAACATGTAGGGCTGGCAAGTGGCAGCAGCTCCCTGTCTGGGCTGGAGCCAGCTCCAACCTGTGTAGGGGACTATGACATTTTCAGGAATTTGTGAACCAGCTGTTAAACTGTTACCGACTTGAAACAGGTCCCTGTGGGTATCTTTACACCACAAAATCAGCAATTGCTGCAGATCTAGGCCTTGGTCTCTCCCTCCTCTGCTTCCAGCCTCAGAAAGCTACGACCAGCTCACCCCAGACTAAGAGTTCTTTCCTCTCTCTCCTGAGAGTAGTGGGGAGCCACTGAAAGTTTTGAGTGAGAGCCGGGACACTGTAACAGCTTCATTTTGAAGAGATGGAAAGCACAGCATGGGTTTCAGCTGGACAGGACAGCAGCAGACTCCATGGGCTGGGAATGAGCTAAGCAAGTGACTTAGAGTCCCCCGGAACTGGGGACTTCTCTCTCCCTTCCTGGAATCCGGCTTAGCGGATTCCAGCCTCCTTCTTGCCTTCTCCTTGTCCACATCCCTGTTGGGTCACCACCATCCCCATGTCTTGAGGACATTACCACACTGTGAGCCTCTGACTCCTGCTTTGTTAAATGGGAGCCGTGCTCAGGAGATGTGGGACAGAACTTGAGCTGGAGGAAATACAGGGCTCCATACTGGGAATTCAACCTTAAGATGATCTTTTGCTGTGTTTTCCCGCCCTCCTTGGCATCTGCAGGAGGCACCATCTTTGAACTCTGCTTGGGGCAGACTGTCCATTCTTGCTTCCCTGGCCTTGGGTCTGTGAGCAACTGTTGGAGGGGCAGGGGCGGCGTACAACAAACAACAAAGGATGCTGGAGACCTTGCCTTCCTGCAGGGGCTTTTCACCCCAGTTGAGTTTAATTAAGTTCAGTGAGCATTTCCTGACACCTGCCAGGTGTGGGGCTTGGTGCCAGGGGCCCGCTGCGGGCATCCAGCAAGGAGGCAGATAAGTGCAGAGAAGTCTGTTGGTTGGTGGGGGTGGCAAGCATGGGGCTGCTCTGTTTCAGGGCCCAGTGAGACAGAGCCAGGTATGAGCCATCATTTCATTCAGGCAGCCACACATGCTGGGGGCAAGAGAAGGGAAGTGAGCGGGAAGCTTGAGAGAACAATAGACAGAGAATTGTAATTAAGTGGAAGATGGCTCAAAACAGATGGTAAGTGGGGTAGGAATTGGGAGAACGGAAATGCACACCAGAGCACTTCAATTACCCAGACATTGCAAACTTTGCAGTGTAACTTTTACAGACCAGCACTGAAAACAAGCTCATACAGCAAGAATCAGCGACGGCTCAGCTTCTGTGAGCTGACTCTTCAGCCTTGCTGTTGGCCTGTGCTATCCCCATTCTAGAGATGGGAAAACACAAGATGTGTGAACAGATCCCAGTCTGCAGTCAATGTGAGGTAGAGCTGAGATCGGAATGGTGGCAACCTGGCCCTGGAGCTTAGAATCTCTGTTTTTTTTAGACAGGGTCTTGTTATATAGCCTTGGCTGACCTAGAACTGTCTACGCAGACCAGGCTAACCTTGAATTCTTAGTGATCTGCCTGCCTCTGCCTCCGTGTGCTGAGATTAAAGGAGTGCACTATCAGTGCCTGGCCTGGCCTGATTCTCAGGCAGTCAGGACAGCCCAGCCTTCAAAGGGGCCGGTGTCTATTGGTACCTTTTACCCAAGTGCAAATTCCAGATGCTGAGAGTTCTTATTGCCTGGTTTTGCAGCATCTCCAGAGAGCTTGTGGTCCAGTTTCCTTGGGAACTGCTTCCAGTTCTGTTGTCTTAAGGCTGAGGACCTTCCAGCCAGAGTTCAGGCTAAAACACTGCCCCCTGAGCTCACATTCTGTGGTTCCCATCACCTTTAGTGCCCCTCTGACATCCCTACCTCCATCAGTTACCATCTCCAATTTTGCCATCATCAGCACCTCTACTTCCACCAGTATCATCCTCATCCTCATCCTCATCTTCACCTCCAAAATGTGCCAGTTAAAGTTCACCCTCCAGAATGCTGTAGCACCAGATGGACCTCCAGAACCACCCCTCCCACTGTGTTCCTGCATCAGTTAGTTTTCTATTGCTGAGGTAAAACATCATGACAACTCATAAAAGAAAGTATTAATTGAGCTTGTGGTTCCAGAGGGTTTGAGTCTGTGATGGCGGAGCAAAGGTATACTGGCAGTAACATCGGAGCGCTCACATCTCAGGCCCCAAGCAGGAGGCAGAGAGCACACTGGGAACTGCAGGAGGCTTCTGAAACCTCAAAGCCAGTGAAACCATTGACACACCTCCTTCAACAAGGCCACACCTCCTAATCCTTCCGGAACAGTTCCACTAACTGGAAACCAAGTTTGAATAAACATGAGTCTATGGGGGCCATTCTCATTCAACCCACCACAGTCAACTTCACTGAGGTCACACTGAGGAGAACATGCCTGACAGAACTGCTCAAGCAGCAAATGAGACGGTGACTATATGGTATTTGACATGTCATGTTAGTGAACACTGTTGCCTCTGCTTCATTTTTGCCATGCTAGTGAAGGAATCTAGAGCCTCCTGCATGCTGGTCAAGTGCTCTACCCCAGAGCTGCACACCCGCCCCTGCATCATTAGAAAGAAGGTGGGAGCTTAAGGTGGGCAGTGGGCTCCAGACTAGAGCACTCAAGGTTCAGAGTCCAGCTGTGTGACCTTGTCAGCTGTGTGACCTTGGACAGGTGTCTTAGGCTCTCTCTATGTGTTTGCTTATCTGCAAAATGGAGTTAAAGGGGGGCTTGTGGTGGAGATTCAATAAATAGGACCTGCAAAATATTTTGGAGGTGTCCCCCATAATAGCGATAGTTGCCCTTGTTGGCAGCCCTCACTCTAGTTTTCTTGTTTTAGGTTGCTTGCCGGGACTGGGAGGGTCAAGTCTGGCTCTGCTCGTATGTAATTTGGCATGGAGACCGTGAAGTTCTTCATGTTTGCACCACTGACCACAGTAGACAGCCACACCCTGTAGCATCCGAGCACCCCAAATGATGCATGTTCATGCTCATGTGTGCCGGAACTATAAAGAGCACAGCAAAAAGGCTTAAGTTTTAAAAGAACATTGCAATATAGCTGGGGAGAGGCACACACACTCATGAGTACACACAAAGGCGCACACACACAAACTCATGAACACAGGCACGCATACTCATGCAATACACAGATGTACACACACACAGCAGCATGCACAGATTCGTGAACACACATACACATACTCAAGCACATACACACTCATGAACACAGACATACATGCTCATGCACATATACAGATGCACACACACTCATGCACACACACTCATGAACACAGACATACATGCTCATGCACATATACAGATGCACACACACTCATGCACACACACTCATGAACACAGACATACATGCTCATGCACACACACTCATGCACACACAACAACACTCATAAACACAGACATACATGCTCATGCACATACACAGATGCACACACACTCATGCACACACACTCATGAACACAGACATACATGCTCATGCACACACACTCATGCACACACACACACTCATAAACACAGACATACATGCTCATGCACATACACAGATGCACACACACTCATGCACACACACACACACACTCATAAACACAGACATACATGCTCATGCACATACAAAAGTTCACACACATCTATTCATGAACACACACATACATACATAGTAATGTAATACACAGATGCACACATACTCATGCACACACACACAGATGCACACACATTCATGAACACACTCATGCACACACACAGATGCACACACTCATGCACACACACATACTCATGCACATACACAGATGCACACACACTCATGCACACACACTCATGCACACACACAGATGCACACACTCATGCACACACACAGATGCACACACTCATGCACACATGCACTCATGCACATACACAGATGCACACACTCATGCACACACACAGATGCACACACTCATGCACACACACAGATGCACACACTCATGCACACACAGGTGCACACACTCATGCACACACACACTCATGCACATACACAGATGCACACACTCATGCACAACACACACTCATGCACACACACACACACTCATGCACACACACAGATGTGCACACGCACACACACACTCATGCACACACAGACACATCCTGCTCTAGAGCCCTGCATCTGCCCCATGCAGAGCCTGCCTGGCAGCTGTGCTCTGTCCCTCCCGGCAGTTCTCAGCAGATATGAACAGACAGTCAAGCTCATAACACCACAATGTTTGTATGGATGATGACACATAGGAGCTTCCGGCATCAGTGTGGACAGCCAGAGCTTCACACACTTGCCCACCAGCATCTTCCAGGCACCATGCCCTGGGAGAATGTCACTCTACATTTTGCCCTCTGTCACCCCTTGGAAGACTGAGTGCAGTCAGCAAGCTGTTTCCACCTGGAAGTGCTAAGTGCTTACTGTCGCACTGTCCCGTGCATCCCTGTCACTGTGGCCCTTCTCCTTCCCCTTCCCTCTGTTCTAGAGAGACCCTTGCTTCCTTGTCTTAGTGTCTGTGTCATTCACCCTTATTCCCACCCCAGCCTCTGTCTGCACTTCT